GGACAGACACAGTGACATCCTGGTTGTGCCAATGTCTCACTTCTGTTCCCAGCCGGGCAGCATGGGAGCCCAGTCAGGCTCCAGCGTCTGTGGTGGCACCCAGACCTGTATGGGAAGGGACAGGAGGGTCCCTGAGGGTGTCACCAGGGCTGTGCACAGGAGCTGGTCCCCCAGCTGTGGCGGAGCGGTATTTCTGAGGGTTGGAGCATGGGGAGATTTTGCCCACACACATTCTGCAGCACTTCTGCTTCCCAAGAAGGTTAGACATCCGGGACTGGCTTTTTGGTGAAACAGTGAGCTGTTCTGGTTAGCAAAACCCCAGCTCTGCCTTGTGTCCCCTGTGTGCTGCCCTCTGCCACTCTCACCCCACCATTGCTGCCCCACGGCCACCTCCTGGGAGTGTCCCATCACCCATGGCCAGGCAGGAGATGTGGGGACTGGGGTCTCTGACAGGAATGATTCTGATTGCCTCATGCTGGGAAAAGGGGATTTTCCCTGCCCAGAAGGGGAAGCTGCAGCAGGAAGGACTCCCACCCCAAACCTCTCCAAGGCCAGCATCTTTCCTGGTGACCTTGAGGCAGAGACTGGAGACAGCCAGCTGGCTTCCAGGACAGTATCCCCCTCTTCTAAAATGCCAGCTTGGTCTCTAAATAACACCTGGCATGGATCTGTCCCCAGGCACCAGAGCAATGAGAGACAGAGCCCTCTATACTCTCATGCTGCAGGACTCATTTTACAGCTGGGGAAACTGAGGTACAGTGGGGTCCCTGACTCTGCCTTGCAGCAAACTCGTGGTGCAGCCCTGTGGGTTTGCAGGGCACTGGGAAGTGTTTTCCAGTGGCAGAGGGCTGGTTCCCACTGGAAATGGAAGATTTGTGGAGGGCTGTTGCCCTGCCAGGGGATTCACACTTTCTCCCAGCCCAGCTGTGCTGTCAGGGCAGCCCAGGAGCCTTCACCTGCCCAGAGGAGGGATCCAGAGGGGCCCAGTGTCTCACACCCCTGCAGCAGCCCCCCTGCCCTCATCCCCCAGTGCCTCTCCTGGCCATATCTCCCAGGAATGGTGGAGCTGCCTCCTGGGGCAATCAGTGGGCAACACATGGGCCTTATCTACAGGCCAGCTGTGGGAAGGGCTCCCTGCCATCCCTATCAGTGGGACAGCTCCAGACCTGGGGCAGAGGGGAGCCAGCCCCACTCCTGCTGTGCTGGGGCCAGGGCTGGGGGCATTGTCACTGCCCACACTGACCATTGCAGGGGATGCTCAGAGTCCTGGGATTCCTCTCCAGCCTGGTGGCCACTGTTGCTGTGACACTGACAGATTTGCAGGGGTCCGGCCAAGGCCATTGAGCTGGGCAGTTGTGGATTGTGTTGGAATGTTGAAGGCAGATGGTGGCAGCAATTTTATTACTGCCAGCAGAGTCCACATCCCTCATCCACTTCCACCAAACTCTCAGCACCAATTTCCTCACCAGGGAGATGCTTGCAGGGCTGAGGGAGGCTCAAAAGGACCAGCACCATGGAAAAGGCTTTCCTGCCCTTTCACAAGTCTGATAGACCTTTGTGTTTTATTTATTTCTGTGGTTGTGCCACCCTCCTGTTCCCAGTGGCTCAGCAGAGTGCTGCTGGAAAACTGGTGGGGTGGGGTTGCTGACTCTCTGCACCAGGAATGTGGAGAACAGGGTCGTCTGTGGCCATGCAAAGCATGGGCATCCCTTTGAGGAGGTGCCTGTGGAGTGTGGTTTTCCCCAGAGGTGGGTGCCAGGCATCCCCCCACGCTATGGGGTGCCAATGCTCTCAGGAGGCTGGCACAGCATGGGAGGTCCCTTGGGAGAGGGAGCACCCTGGCTGCTCTGTGCCACTGAGCAGGGTCTGTCCCTCTGTGTCCTGTGACAGCAGTGACCATGGATCACTAAAAGCTCAGGGTGCAGATCTTTATTGTCCACTTGTCTGGCTGTGCTAGAGCTGGGCATGGGTTTCTCACTCCCCAGCATCCCAATCATCCACCGTGGCCTCAGGCTCTGGGTGGGAGAGAGTAAGAGCAGGAATGTGTTTTGGTCTCCTACCAGCTCCTACCAAGGATATAAATGAAGAGTTTTCTTCCCTGCCATGTCTGCTGAGATGGTCAGCTGGGAGCCTGCTATGTCTACCAAGGTCAGCACCTCTGGCCATAACCACAGGGAATTAGAGATGGGTGGAAAACTGTCTAAACCCCATACAAATATTTGCATTTTAAGGGCTTTTCCAAGTATTGGGGAGTGCTGACACAGCAGCAGTGTGGGATAGCTGGCATACTGAGAGGGTCTGCTTGGCTTTTTTTGGGGGGAGAGATGCAGAATTTCCATGGTCAAAGATTTTTGTTTGAAATAATAAAAAAAAAAAAGCTAAATGAGCAAATGGGGAGAATTTCCAGCACTGCTGCAGGTTTCTCTGCCAGCTCCTTGAGGCTAAACAGCCACCCTGATGCTGAATGGACCACAAACCTTCAAACCACCCCTTGCCCTGGATTGGTGGGTGTATGGTTCCCATCTCTGTGTTCCCATCTCTTTTCTCTTCTCTGCTGAAAGGGGTTTTGGCAGGAAAGGGAGTCCCTGTGGCTGCTCTGCCCTGGAGCATCCTGAAGGTCTGGGGCTGAGGTAGAACTGGTGGGAGCCTGACCCATGTGTTGCCCCCCATGCCCATGCCAGGGGATGCTTTTGGCCATGGTAGCAGCCTGTGTGGCGATCCCTGACTGGGGAACAAGGGTGGCCGTGGGCCCTGGTGGCTTCAGGATCATACATCCCAGGCACAGACAGGGGCTGGAATATGGGCGCAGTTGGAGGGACTCTGGGCTCTCCCATCCCACTGCATTCCCCCTCTCCACACCCATTTCCGCCAGCTCCTGGGGCAGGTTGTAGCAAGCAGGGAGCAGGCACGTCCTGTCCTGCTGGTGCAGGGGGGGCTCAGCACCTTGGGCTGCAGGGTGAGAGCCCTTCATGTGCCCAGGGGACAGCTCTGGGGTGGTGGCACCCAGACCCCCAATGACTGTCCACAGCAGGACAGTGTGTGGGTGTGTCCTGGCCCCATGCAGGTGTCTTGGGCACGGTGATGGGGCTGGGGGTCAGTGCAGGTGGGTCAGGGCTGTGGGTGTCACTGCTGGGGATGCAGAGGGGAGTGTGTGCAGCAATGGAGCCCTCCTTGCACACTCATGCAGAGCATCAATGTGTGGGGCTGCCCTCTGCCCTGGGCTTGGGGCCCAGCCGTGTTCTGCGTCCCCTCATGGGCTGGCAGGTTGCTCCATGCCCCACAGCTGTACTGGCACCTCAGGGTGTGCTGTGCTTGGGGAACGCAGGGGACCAGGGCTCAGTCAGGCTCAGGTACCACCTGAGAGGCCAGAAGCATCATCATGGTGCTACAGCAGTGAGTCAGGGACAGTCAGACACAGGTGTGGTGGGCAAGGGGACCGGCATGTGCCCCTGTGCAGCGGGCACCCGTGGGTGGTGCTGGCCCTGGGCTATGCCAGGCAGGGGAAGAGGCTCCTGCACGTGTCCGGGCAGTGCAGCACGCGTGGCTGCCTGCTGGGGCTGGGATCTGCTTCCCTGGGGCCAGGGATACGTGCAGATCATCCCAGTGCTGATGGACCCCGGGGATGAGCACCAAGTGGATGAGCAGGACAGCAGGACTGCCCTGACAGCCTGCAGGGACTGTCACATAAGGGCCAGCACAGCAGATGTCACAGGAGCTGACGTGTTTCTTCAGCCATAGGCAATGCTGGTGATACAGGGGGGCTGGGTGGGGGGCCCGTTGGTGCCATGCACGCTGTGGGGCCAGGAGCAGCCATGGTGAGGGGTCTGCTGGTGCAAGGTGTGGGTAATTGTGTGTTTGAATGTGAGTGCAGAGGGCTGGGTGTGCAGCTTGCACTGTGTCAGGTTAGGTTACAGCATATAGAGCAGCAAAGAGTATGTACAGTGTGTAGGGACAGGATATGGGGGGTTAATGGGGCTGAGAGGAGGGGAGGGCCAGGTGTGCACAGCACCTCGGATATGCACAGAGTCCCCACAGGACTCCCTCCTCCTTCATCTCACTCCCTCCTCCCGGCCCCTCCCCACCATCCCATTCCCATGACAACAGCAGCATCCTGCTCCTACAGCAAGGTGCAGAGCACCCATCTGGGGCCCTGGTGCCACTCTGGCTGCAGCAGAAGCCCCCTGCCAGAGAGGCAAAGGGTGACGCTTCCAAAGGGACCCAGTATAAACCAGAACTCATTTTCCTTGTTGCATTGGGAGAATGCCCGGAGCTGTGGACACCCCTGGAGTCCATGATGATTCTGGGATCCATCCAAGACTAGGGTACCCTGCTCCCTGCCTGAGCCCCCAGCTCCCCACTCAGATTGTCCCCTCCAGCCCTATGGTCCCCTCCCCAGGCCGGGGTGCCGCTGCTGTCCCCAGGCCGGGGCTCTGAGCGCTGGCCAGCCCTGCCCTCTAGTGCCCCTGCGCTGCTCCGTGCAGGGCTCAGCCCCGGCTCCCTGGAGCTGGGACCCCCGGAGCCCTCGCAGGGCCCGCGGAGCAGAGCAGGGGCTGGCACCGCCCCCCACCCCGACACTGCTGCTGAGGGGACATGAGGACACCCATGAGGAGACATGAGGACACGTCCTGGACCTCCAGAGCACCACCAGCCCATGTCCGCGCTGCCGAGGGCGCAGCGGTGTCACCCCAGCACAGGTGCCCTGCGCCCCAGGCCTTGGCACACGCGGGCGTGCCCGCTCGGGTGACAATTGCCTTCCCGGGTCGATAACCTGGTGGCCAAAGCACTCGGAGGGCCGGGACGGCCACGCCAATGGGTGCCCGCGGCTGCGGGAGAGGGAGGGAGGCTCTGCAGGCTCTGGCTGAACTGGAAGGAGGCGCGGCATCGTCCCGCGGTCCCTGCCCCGGGGACTCTGACCCCGTGGGCCGGCCGGGGCAGCCGAGGCAGGCGGTGCCGAGCAGCCCCACAGGCACCGGGACGGAGACAGCGAGGAGCCGAACACGATGGAGCCCACTTGGGAGCTGGCAGATGACCCCAGGTGAGTGCTGGAGACTCCCGTCCCGCTTTGCAGCCGGGCAAATCCAACTTTTTGGATCGGAACTTTGGATGATTCATTCCCTCTGTAAAGGAAGGGAGGCCTTGGTGGTGAGGCAAACCAGCCAGGGGGCTGCTCGGACCCTGCGGGGCCGGGTGTCCCCGTGTACCTGTGCAGCACTCCCGGTTCTGCTCCGCAGGTTCTCCCGCCCTTTGGTGGAGATGCTGATCAGGAACTTCAGCGTGCCGGCCGCCTGCTTCTCCCTGCCGCCCACCTCCCAGCATCTGCTGCACCGTACGTGGGGGGACGGGGTGGGCAGGACCCTCCTGTTGTCGCTGGCGGGAGCAGGACAGGGATGAAGGTGGTAGGGTGGCCAAGGCAAGAGCAGGTATGGAGCAGCCCCAGAAGTCAGAAACTGGTGCCAGGGTCTTAGCCTCCCATCCCATAGTCCGGCCCATAGAGATGGGGACAGCCCAGGAAGGGCCAGCCCAGGGGCAGGTGTCATGGGACAGGGAACAGGGGCACAGAAGGGCCAGCTCTGGCATAGACAGGCATATCCAGGGTGTGGCACAGAGCTTCCTAAACCTGGGCAGTGGTGGGTCGAGGGGCAGCTCCCCAGGGGGGACTGGACAGGATGAAGACAGCTTCTCACCCCTCCCTGGCAGAGCTGGACATGGCCCAACTCATCATCCTGGGCCTCTGCACCATCATGACGCTGCTGTCAGTTGTGATCTATGTGGAAGAGGTTTCGTACCTCTTCCGCAAGATCCGCTGCCCTATCAAGATGAAGACCCTCTGCTGGAGCAGCTCAGCCCCTACGGTGAGCTGGGCTCTGGGGGGCCAGGGCCACCCAAGGGGTGCCAGCCCGCAGGAGGGGGGAGTGCCAGTGTGCCAAGCTCACGTGTCCCCCAGGTTGTGTCAGTGATCAGCTGCTTTGGCCTGTGGTTCCCGCGCTCCATGATGGTGGTGGAGATGGCAACCACGGCGTGAGTATCACCCACCCTGGGACAGGGCACCACAGAGCCCACAGTGCTTGACCTGCCTTCCTCCTCCTCCTCAGGTACTTTGCTGTCTGCTTCTACCTGCTGATGATGGTCATGGTGGAGGGCTTTGGGGGGAAGGAAGCACTGCTCAGCACCCTGAAGGATGTGCCCATGGTGGTCAGCACTGGGCCCTGCTGCTGCTGCTGTCCCTGCCTGCCCAAAATCACCATGAGCAGGTGAGGGGGAGCTGGGATAAACCTCTGTCCCTGGAGGGCTTTCACCCCGTGCTTCTGCTGGGCTGGAAGACAATTCCCTAGGCGGGGACTTGGGGTCTTCAGAGTGCTGCCTGTCTCTCTCACCATGCCAGGAAAAAGCTCAAGTTGATGATCCTGGGGACTTTCCAGTACGCGTTCTTCAAGGCAGTCGCTGTCTTCCTGGGGCTGGTCCTGGCCACCGATGGGAATTACAACCCTGCTGACGTGAGTGCCAGAGCACAGGGATGGGCAGGTTGATGACCTAGACAGGAAGCCTCCACCTGAACTTTGTCAGCCCAGTAACGTTTTCTGTGTGTCCCCCTCAGATTTCAGGGGAGAGCGTGGCCCTCTGGATCAACACCTTGATTGGTGCCTCCGCCCTCTTTGGGCTGTGGGGCCTGGGCATCCTCTTCCGGCAGGCCCGGCTGCACCTGGCTGAGCAGAACATGCAGGCCAAGTTCACCTGTTTCCAGGTGAGCCCCTGTCCTGCCCAGCTCCTTCCTAGGTGAGGGGGTTCTGCAGCACTGACGGGGTGAGGCAGCATGAGGGAAGATGGTGGGGCAGGAGCCACTGCTGGGTGAGAGCCCCGCTGGCTGCAGGACGGGGGGAGGGTGAAGGCTGAGAGCTGGGCAGCGGCACAGCCCTCACGGCAGGGTGTTGGTGGTCACAGATCCTGCTCCTCCTGACGGCGCTCCAGCCTGCCATCTTCAGCATCCTGGCCAACAACGGCAGCATTGCCTGCTCGCCGCCCTTCTCCTCCAAGGCCAGGTCCCAGCGTAAGTAGGGAGATGAGAGAGCAGCACTCCCAGCCAGGCCCCTCCACCATGGGGATGGCATGGGGGGTGGGCATGGTGGCTGAGGGCAGCTTCAAATGGCCCCTCTCCTGTTCCAGAGATGAACGTGCAGCTGCTGATCCCGCAGACCTTCATCCTGGCGGTGCTGACACGGATGTACTACCGCAAGCAGGACGACAAACCGGGCTACCAGCCCGTCAGCTTCGCACCCACAGGCGCCGACGCCAAGGCGTGAGCAGGAGGGACAAACCGGGGTGCCAAGGGCAGAGTGGGGTCAGGGGTTGGTCTACCCTGCACAACCTTCTCCTCCTCTCCCAGCCCTGGGGAGCTGCTGGCAGCAGCAGAGACAGGAGGGGAAAGAGCATCTTGGGACAGAATGAAAGGTCTGAAACCTGAAAGCCATAAGCCAAGGGGGTCCATGGAGCCACCTCCAGCCCAGGGGCTCTTGTCTAGCACTGAGTAAAGATAAATATTTACAAGAGTCTTGCATTGGTGACTGGCTTCATATTATCTCTGCCTAGGCTGGGTGGGAGATGACTCCATGCAGGGGGAGGAGGATGGAGCCCAGACTAACACAGCCATGGCGTGGGACTGTCATGGGATGCCCAACATCCAGCTGTGACACTGAGCTCTGGGTGCTGCTGGCTGGGGTCCCACAGCCAAGGCAAGCCCAGGACAATGGTGATTTCTACCAAGCTATCAGGATGGGTCTGACCTGTCCCTGGGGCTTGTTCTCTGCAGGACTGGCTGCTCCTGAAAGCACACAGCGAGCATCCACACCTGCCAGTTAGGTGCCAGGAAAAGGAAGGAGCCTTGAAGCACCTTCATAACACTGGGAATTAGTCAATGCTGCCTTAACCAGCCTCAGTCCAGTACCAGTATCTGCTCTAGACACGGAGATGGACATCAGGAGCAGTAACAATTTGCAGAAACCACTGGGTAATCTTTTGACCCCAAGTATTCATTACAGACACCAGAAGCACAACTTAGCCCATGGTTTCAAATGAGCAGATCACATGTTAAAAAAAGTTGCAGCATTCTCCAATGCTCTTGCTTCTACCACCATCCCTGGTCCTTCTCAATTCTTTCTGTTGCTGTTGTTCTTTGCCATCAGAAAATCCTTTCCCGGGGCTCACACCCCAGATCTACAGAGGAAGCGAAATGGGGCTGTTTCACATGAGTAGATGCCTCTAGATTTGGCAGCATCAAACTCCACAGGGCTCTTCACTGCATGCTAGTAAACTTTTGTTTTTCCACTGCACTTTTTGCTTCAAGTCTCTTCTGGATGCTTCTTTTGAAGAGCAAGGGATGGCTTAGAGTTGTGCAGAACAGCCCTGAAGCAGCAGCACTGGGTGTATCTGTGGGAATGAGATGAGCCTGGGGAACTTGGCTCATGTTTTGCTGAAAGATCAAGCTTTACCTATCCCCGATAAAATATGACAGTGCTGGAGAAGACTGGTCCAGCAATCCAGGAGAAAACAAAACAAAGGAAAAATAAAGGACTAGACTGGGATTTCAGTGTCCAATTTAATTTCAGTGCAAGGAGGAAGCAGAGATTATTGGTTACAAGAAACAGCTCTGTTATTCCAAGCTACATGTAAAACCATGGCTGGCTTGCCAAGCACCCCAGAATTTGCAAAGAGACCAAGCTTGTTAAGGTCTCTGCAGAACAAGCCACAATCCAGAACATCATGGATACCCAAACTTACAGAACACTGTTGCATAACTTGTGTTTAAAACAGTAGTAAGGCTCTAAAGCAGCCTGGCCTTTGTGATCTGGCTCAGGGAAGCAACTGCAACATCCACGCTGAGGGAAGAGTGAGGAAGGGAAGATGAGGGAAGAGACAATGTGAGTGATACAAAGGAAGTGTTCTACCACTCATAAACCAGAGGATTAACAACTGGCTTCCACCACGTGACTGTTATTTGCTCCTTAGAGTTTAAAATCCACAGCAGCCAGCCATGCTCCCACAGCTGTTCACATCCCTCCTGAAAGAGGTCCAAGTGGCAGATTAGTGATCCCCAAAATACCCTTTCCCATACTGGTTCTGGCTTCAAGAGAAGCACATAACCTCTGTCAAGCCCTTTGGGCAGCGTGACAAAAGACCATCAAGACAGAAGCTGGAAAGAAGCTGCAGCCTGTTCCTACCCCAGGGCCACCACGTGCTCTGGAAGCATCACAGTGTGCAGAGCTTGTTGCAGCACTTGATGAGTTTCTTCCTTGCACGTGCTGCTCCCCAAGCCTCACATCCTGCTCTGGAGACCTCCCAGCAGCACTGCTGACAGGGCTCTGAGCTGTCCTCTCTTCCCAGCACCACAGGATACAGGCAACTCAGCCCAGCAGCTCCACCCCGAGACAGTGGGTATCAGAGGCAAACCCTGGCAGAAAAGCTCCACAGCTACATGACAGCAAGGCCAGTTTCTCCAGTGCTGGCTGCAGGACAGGGTGCTGGACCTGCTCTGCTCAGCCATGACGAGGGCAAGTCCCCTTGGGGAGCCACAGGCCACAAAGCTCAGTGTGTATCACGGACACAACAGCAAGCACAAGTTGGACCATAGACTCACACGAGCATTATGCATTTAAATACCCTTAAAAAGCTGCAGCACTCTCTGATGCTCCTTCCATCGTGCCTCATGGAGCAGAGTGAGCAGGCATGGATTTGTGCATGTACTGCACAAGTCAGGTAACTGTCACACAGAACTGGGGCCCTTCATCTGTCCAGCTGCACACACTGACAGCAGCAGCACACTGGCTGCTTTGCCCTTAGAGCAGCGACTTCATGGCACCAGTGTGAAGGATTCCTGCAGCCCCTACAGCACAGCAACTGAAACACAGACAAACACACACAGAGCACAGTGCTGAGGGACTGTTTGGACAGACACTAAAATGTGTAACACACCACAGACTGGAACAAGGAACTTCTCAAAAGACTAGACACATTCATTTCCTACCTGGGCTCTCACACCCAAGGAAATGTACAACAGCAAATGCCCTGAAGCAAAGATTCATTCTCTTCTCTCCAACAGCAACTGAGGGCTCAATTTTAGCTCAGGATTTAGCAGTCTTGTTAAGATTAGCTGGAAAGGCCTTTCCCCTGCAGCCCCTCTACAGTTTGGAGCTGTGAATGCTGTACACTTTACGGGGTGTGCCACTCTACAGTGCTGCAAGTCCTCCCCAGGTGTAGCTCCTGCGTGCCAAGCTGGTACCCCTGCCCAGCACGTCCTCACTGCAACACGCTGGGAAGCTCAGTTAAGAGGCATGCGAGCACTACAGGGTCTGCTGGACATATTCCTATCAGCTCCAGCCCAGCAGGGATGTCTCTATTTCCTAGAAGCCTCATTACACCACTGCTTTGTGCATGCTCTCGAGGTCATGCTGGTTGAGGAACTGAGGGATCTTTCGTTTGGCAGTGGCACAGATACTGCCTGGGGATGGGGGGGGATAAGACAGAGGAGCTGAAGGAAAGAAGAGACAGATGGGTCTTCCCACTCTCTCTCTTGCCTGGAGGTTTAACAAGGGAAAAGAAACCAAAACAAAAGCCACGCTTGAGTGCTATTCCTTGCCCTTTTAACAAATATTTTCTTAAAATATAAAAACCATCTTCACCCTGGAAACCGCTAGAACGTAAACAATAAAAAGGGGATTTGGGGAGAAGGGAGAGGAGGTTTGAATGTGCTTCCAGGCAGCAGCCCTTGCTATGAGCAACGGGTGCCTCCAAGGCCCTGTGCTCAGCCATCAGCCCTGTTCCTATGGCTCTCTTGCTCATTTAGAGTTCCCCAGTGGGTCTGGACTTAGGATTCAGCGATTAGCGGTCCGCAGCAAATCCTGGCAGGTAGGTTAATCCTCTTCATCCTCACTGATGTCGTAGGTGACTGCAGACTCGTTCCTGGAGCGGTTGGCAGGGGAGGAAGGAGGAGTCTTGGTGGAAAAGGGCCAGCGGAAGGAGGGAGATGGGGAGCGGTCGTGTGTGGGGCTGCTGCTGGGACTCTGCTTTGGGCTGATGGCCTGCAGCATCCGGCCCTTGCCCTCCTTCAGCATGTGTTTCTGGTGAGGGAAGCAGGAGGACTGTTAGCATGGGTTGCACACTCATGGAAATGGACACTACTTACAGCCTGTGCAGCATTTTGAGTTGTGCCCCTTCAGAACTTCATGCTATTTAAGAGCAGAAAAAGCCCCAGCATCACTCTGGGCTTTGGAAACTGCACACAGTGTAATCGCCACTCCTTTTCAAGCACTTCTAACATGAAATACCTGTGATATTCAGCCAACAGTGCAGGAAAGCCTAGCATAAACAATTCGCTTCAGACTCATCTTAGGCCAATGACAAAGTGACCACCATCCTCTTGGCAGCTCAGTGGTCAGCAGGGCACAAACTGGAGTTTACAGGTCAGCTCTGGGACAGGAGAGTTTTTCACTCCACAATGTAACTGGCATTATCTCGTTGGCAATGGTGGGTACTCCCTGAAAACAGGCTGCCCAAACTTGGGACAACTTGTCTGGAGACTGGCAGCACACTGAGCACTGCAACAAATGCCAAACCTTTCCTCTGCAGACCCTGTAGAAGCTCTACAATGTCTGTTAATGTCTCCAAAATTCCCTTTCCCATTTTCCCACAGCAGCTCCTTACCAGTGCACCTTCTGGGCCAAACATCTCCAGGAAATTGCCGATGAACTCCCGGGACTTCTCTTCCCATTTCTGAATGAGATCAATACTCTTCTCTTCCACTTTCTGGACAAATTCCTTTGACTTCTCCTCTACATCCTTCACTCTCTTTTTCACCTTATCCACACGTTCCTGGAGGTGATATTTTTTCTCCTGCACAGAGAGTGGTGGATCAGAACACAGCTCACCAGATTTGAGTGGAGACCATCTCTGCTCTGTGTAACTACACTGAACTGCTGCTTGAGACTCAGCATCTCCATTAGTCTGGTGACATTCCTCCTTCACTTCTATGACACTTCTTTCCTAGACTACATGGCAGACACAGTGGAGCTGTGAGACACTCTGTGGCAGGCACTGGCACAGTACACAAAGCAAGACTAGAGCCAGAGATAAGCACTATCTAATAGGAGTGCATTGAAGAGGGAAATATTTATACAGCACACAGATTAGATTCGAGTGACTTGCTGTAGGTCTCTGCATATCACAACAGCACCAGTCTTTCTGCTGGGTGTTTTTAAACAGAGGCAGAGTTATGTGCCAAGGAGAGGCCAAGCAGCCGTTACCTCTCCTGTTTCACTGCTGCTCACAGGCACAGTATCTGAGTGATAAAAAAAATGTTTATGACTTTACTTCCAACATCAAAAATGTCTTCTGCCATGTACTCTTTCTGAGGGCTAGAGCTGCACAGCACAGGATCAGGGCATATCCTTCTGTCCTACCCAAGCACTGCTGCTCCTGCAGCTCCACGAAAGGAACAGTACAGTGGAAACAGCATCAGATTTTATCCAAACAAATGACTCTACCCTAGGGAGGTGGCTGGGGGAAGAGGAGAGAGATGAGACAGCAGCTCCTGTCAAGAACAACTCACTCTTCATTCAAGAAAAACATACATTTTGCCACACACCCTCTCTCCAGCTCTTTCAATAGTTAAGACATCATCAAGACATCTCTAACAAGACAGCAGCATTAGCAGCCCCCCAGTTCCTCTGAGTGGGTCCCTGAGGTGATTTCAGGGGTGGAAGTCTATTTTTCACTCCAAGGACACTGGTTTGGTGCCAACGCTTAGCTCTGCAGACAGGCCTTTCACTGGCACATGGCAGGACTGTGCTATCACTAGACAAGACTCCCTTCACACTCAGCAAGGCTCTGGCTCCTGCAGCGTGGGGTGAGAGCCACTTCCACTCACGTTTATGAAGCTGACGTTGAGCTCCTTGGCCGTGTAGCCCCGCTGCAGGTTCCGCCGGGCGTAGACGTCGTAGTCCCGCACGATGCGCGTGATGATGTCGGATGTGGAGATGCCCTCGGTCCTCTGGGTTGGTGCAAACATGCCTAAAGTTGGGGAAAAGGACCCAGGACAGCTTGAGCAAGACACAAGGCAAAAAGCTGCTGCCACCTCTGTCACGAAACAACTTCTCTTGTCAAGATTTGCTAACTGCTCTCACATCTTTGTCCTTAAATGTGCAATACCAGAGCCATCCTTTCTGGGATGCCTAAGTAAGACCAAAACATGTCAAAACCCTGTCAAAATAGCAGGTATTCTAATGAAAAGGTCTTCACTTTAGCTGGCTTAAATACTGACTGCATACAGAGTAGTGTGGGGACAAGGACAGGACAAGGGGTCCTGCATTTTAATGGATGGAAATATAACATTCTGATGGCTGAGTTTGGATAGATATAAAAAAGCTGCATCCCCAGTGAATTTAATAGCTAGAGATGTCCCTCTGCTGAGTTCATCAGATTTCCCAGTTGTGAGAATCTCTAAGCTAAACTGTAGTATGTTTTCAAGAGGTTGCTGTTAATTCAATCAAAATAACTAGACTGAAATTAGGAATTAATACTGGGCCATGGAACAGTCCTAGTGTTATGAAGCAGGGCCCAGAGCTTCTCCTTCCTGCCACCACAGGCTCCTGGGCAGATCAGAGGGGCATAATCTTGTATTACAGAGGTACAAGAGAAACTACAGAAGATTTTTGATAAGAAGCCGTGGAGAATTTGAGGGGGACCCACCTGCTTCTTTTATATGCTTATAGACATCATCACTGCCAGCAGAAGAGTAGGGGATGTCATCATGTGCAACAAAGTCGATCTGAAAATTAGAAAAGCAAGTCAACATTTTATCTGGAACGTGCAGATCTCCTGCTGCTGTCGAAAGATGGTAACTTTCGGCTCAACACCTCCACTCAGGGGTATGAGGGAGAACAGCAGGACGTTCCCTCTGTAACAACACAACACAGAGCAGTCCCAAGTGCTCAGTGGCAATTGCCTGTGAATTGTAAGCACATGACAGAGGGGAAAGAAAAGGCTGGGAATAGGTACACAGCTGCTTTAAGCTCCACAGAGAAATGGCTTGTTAACGACAACAACGGTAAACTAAGCAAGCTTCCCTAGAGACTCCTTCACCTCCCAAAGCTGTTCAACAGATGTTAAGAGATTCCTTTCACTTTATCTCACCAGCTGATAAAAGGCTTTCAAGACAGCTTGTCTGGTCTCCTGTGGCAAGAAGGCTGATGTATATCTAAGCTGCTCCTGCTGTAAGCAGGGAATTGGACCAGACACCGCCCAGAAATCACTTCAAACACACTATTCCTCTCTCTACTGCATTTCACACCTATCTGTAACCAGCACCAATCTCTACTGAAATAGCAAGAACCTTTTTCATTATGTCACAATCTCTACATTATTTTAACATTACATACCAGCTCAGCAAATGCTTCTACACTCCCAAGAAACCCCACAATTCCCATAACCCAGTTCATTCTATATTTAAGGAGCTTCAACAGAAACAGCTTGCTCAGGCAGAGGTCACTCCCAAAGATGAATTCTTGCTATAAACAGAGAGAGGCTAATCGAAATTCCAAAGAGATCAGATGTCACAGATTACCCTGTGCTCTGCCAGGAACTCGGGTGTGAGGGTCCAGGGTGCATTTCTCACCACCTCATCCACATAGCGACAGTGCTGCACGGCATCGTAGCGCTCATTTTCGTTCATTACCGTGAAACCCTTGAAGTTGTGGGTCAGCTCATCACTGCACACTGCAGAAACAGGCAGAGAACACAGTCTGAGGCACTTACCCCCATGATTTACAATAAAAGGACCTTGCCCACACTGTGCTGGACCTGACAATGCCAGCAGCTGACAGAGGCTGGTGTTTCAAACCCAGCTCTTCCAGCCACAATACACCAGGAACAGGGAGCACTGCAGGGCACTAAACTCCTGAGCAATTCTGGGCAGGCTGCTTGGAGAATTTCTGCCCAAGCTAGGGACCCACACACTCCAAGCCTTTAAAGTCTCCAGAGCTTTCAACACTTGTCAAGAAAACCAGCTAACACAGAAGACCGTTCTTCTGTAAGAAATGGCACCTGGGGGGCCTGCTGCTCAGAAATCCACCTTTAAAGCAATGGATGTCTCAGGCTTGGAATCTGAAAAAACTTACTGCCTGAACTTCTGATTTCATAAAATGCCATACCACAGTCTAGCTCTTGGAAAGTTTATGTTAAAACAAAGGGGGAGTTCACAGGAAATCAAGCTTAATTATTATGTTCTATGAGAAAGTAAATTAACAACTCTTCATAATCTGCAGTGTAAGATACTGAGGAAGGAGTTCTATTTGATTATCAGACTCAAAAGTAAACAAGACACTACCAGTCTCACTGGTATTGGATTTATTTATATGTTCTAGACAAACAGATGATAAAGACTGGGGGAGACTGTTCCCTGCTTGGAGCTAATGTTCTTCTGGGATGTGGCCTCTTGTCTCAGTCCTGGTGCAAGTTCATTGCCCTTCTCCTCACCAGTCTCCCAGAGGCACAGAACGTCATTACACTCCTTGCTACTTTAACATGTCAATAGTTTGACCTGAAGTTATTTTCCTGTCTGTTGTAGTGTTCATGTAAATGGGGATGTCTTTCAGCCTTTAAGATTTCTAAGTTCAGGGCAGTTTGTAGGTTGGAGCAACTGTTTCAGCTCTCCTCCCTCCCTTCTGCTTCCAGACACTACTGTAGCACACAAGAAGTGCAGGCACACCACTATTAGAATGCTCTCAGCAATGACTGGAACTGTGATAAGGAAACAAACCACCCAAGGATGTTATAATCATTCTATGGCAGGATCAGAATTTCATTTTGCTTCACGAAGACAACAGGAGTTGAGAAAACTAGTTAAAGGTATTTTCAGTTCTCATACTTCAGCATCATTGTGCAGCCTGAGCAGGGGTCAGCTCCTGACAGACAACATGCACAGCCTGATGTGCCCTCAGTGTGGGTGGAGGGGTGAGCAGAGGCACTGCCTGGGCAGAGGCCCATGAACTGCAGCAGCCAGAGAAGGGGAATCTTTTTTCCTCTTACATGCTTGAAGGAGCCTGGCTGAAACACCTCTGCTAGATCCCTTCAGGCACTCAGCAGGATATTCCAGGCACCATCTAAAGACTTATGACCCAACAGACAAAATGGGAATTTCTATTTTGAGAAGGAAGGCCTAACTGACTTCCAGGTGTCCAGGCACATGCCCAAGAAACCACTGTGATCTCCATGCTCCCAGTGGGATCTGTTTGACACTAAGCAGTCTACAGCAGGAAACTGGAGCTGGGGAGTGACTTGCAGGGCAATACAGGTGAACAAAGCAGCCATGGGAGGGACTCATACTTTAGCTGTCTCATTTATGAGTCAAAAGTAGATACTCAACTATCCCTAATATATTTTGATACTCAGATGTGCAACTCACCTGTACCTGTCACAGAATAGAGAGGTCAAATTAAAACAGCACAATCAAAAATCTTTTCCTTGAGCACTCATTTGGTGCAGGATATCTTTCTGCAGACATATCCAGCCCTCAAAGTTTTGCAATAGGACTCCAACAACATTTGGGACAAGTGTCTGCAGTGAGAGTCACTGAGGCCACAAAGACAAAACCCCAGTATGCACAACCAGAGACAGAGCTCAGCTGTACTCCTGCAACAGCCAAAGTCAACAAGGTCACTCCTTACCTCCAACAATGAGGTATGTGTTTGGGAAGAGGTTCTTTGCTTGCATCAAGGCCCGGGCATGTCCAGAGTGGAACAAGTCAAATATTCCATCAGCATAAACTCTGACAGGGCGATCCACTGTGCCAAAGGAACAGAGACACAGCTGTGAATATGCCTGCCTGGAGAAGCAGCTGCTGCTCATACTCACATTTGAGGACCTTCTGAAAGTCACGGAGGTGTTACAGAATGCAGCACCATAATCAGGACAGAACTGTGAAGAAAAATGCCTGGCTCTCTGCCTTCCCATGTGGAAACAAATGCATCTGAGCACAGAGCTGAAATACAGCCACATATGAAGACAGACTGAAAGCCTACCACGTATCACCCAAACAAGGTGAAGGAGAGACCAAGGGAAAAGCAAACCCTGAACATTTCCCTTCTATGGAAATCCAAATGCAGAATTAACTTTTTGCACACCAGAGGGGAACTGGCCCAAATGTTTCAGAGGTGCCTGATTTCCTCCTGCCTGCTAGGATGGCATCTCAAGGCCTTTACAGCATCCCTCTCTGCAGCCTGCTGCCACAGTCTGGTGGAGGGACCAGCAGCATCAGTTCCCCTAGGAACAAGCAGTGTATGGCCTTATTCAAAAACACAGCAGAACTACTCAAAGAAAAGCAGACACAATTCTGCTGAATCACTGGCATTATCAGCTAAATCCATTAATAATAATACTAATAATAATAATAATAATAATCATCATCATCATCATCAACAACAACAACAATTAAACTTCCCTCAGGCCACCTCTGACCTCTGCCAGGGGGAATTGTAGAATTGTAGCTCAGTTCTTTGAGGGCAGCACAGAGGTAAAGTGAGATAGTCTAGCACTGCCATGTAACAGTGGGAGGTTTCTGATCTTGGGACCACACAGGACCACAGTCCTCTTGCTGCTGATAATCAAAAGCCACACTCTTTTTATGTGACACACTTGGGAACAGCCTGCTGCTCTCTTGGCTCAGTTCAGACAGACAGACTCAGAGCAGTGGTGAGCACAGGGACAGCAATGCTGCAGTGAAGAAGGGCAGAGAGAACAGGACCTAACAGGAAGCTGAGACCCCACAGGTCTGGGCAGAGCCCTGGAGGTACCCAGAGACAGAGACTGGGAGGCAGCAAGAAGAGGAGTTGATGCAAAGGTCAGGGTTATTAAGTTCAAGCTAAGCAGAGGAATCAGTTTGAGGACAGCCTCTTGCAATAATTTTTTAGTGGTTCTAAGACTGCAATCTGAGGATGCCAGAAGGCTCTGAAGAGCCAAGGAGATCTGTGACTGCAAAAGCTTTCTGTATGCCAGAAGAGGACTGGTCCTAGCAGACCTTTATGAATATTCATCCACGTTCTGGAAAGTGGCTGGGACATCCTTATCTTTCCTCTGTACCTGCAGCAGCTGCAGTTCCTGAGCACAGACACAAACAGCAACAAGGAAGTGTGCACTGTGTTTTAGTCTCAGCAGGCAGGAGAGCCACCACTGCTGAATCAGAGACCTTTGTGCAGACTCTGGAGATTTTCAGCTGGGAAATTAATGCAGACTGTGAAATACACTGGATTTTCAGAACCCCAGCAGGAAACCACAGCCAGGTCTCAGTCTGAGCTGGTTCATCTCTCAGCAGTCAAGCAGATAGAAGTGCAGCATTTTTATTGCCTCTGTACCCACAACAGAGAGCCCAGGTAAGACAGCACTGTCTGCACACTCTGTTTGGCAGAAGAGAGCCTTCAGGAGTCACCTGTGCCTCTGCCTCCCCTGTGGACTTGCAAAGAGAACAGTGTTTTTCCCAGCCTGGTTTAGAGAATAAAAGGACAGATTTTTGTTGAGGGGCTGGCCTGTGGTGTTTAATGACACTGACTTTAATTCAAATCCAGGCTAGAATGGGACATTCTGGACAAGGATACAAATTGGTTTTACTTGCCAGTTTCAAGTTTCAGAAAATATGACTTTTAAAAAATATGACTTTTAAAGGGCTTAACTTTAAGCCACCTCAGACAAAGTAGTACAGAAAGTGTGGAGTTCTATGGCTGTCAGTGGCTCAGCTAGAGTTTAAAACAAATATCTGTAATCTCCTCACACATACAAACTTGAATTTCAGGTGCACTGACAGCCAAATTTCCCATGGAAACAGTTATCTAATCACCAAAGCACTCACTTTGTCATTGGCTGTAAACCTGGTCAAACACACGAGGTTGGCTTGGTCTCAGAGATATCCCAATCATACCCACATTCCCCAAACCCAACATTCATACCATCCCCTTCCAGTCTGTGCTCTTACTTACATGGGGTCCCTCTCATGGCTTCTTCATAGGTCACTCTGATGTATGGCTTGCTGTAGTCGATCTCCACCTCATCTGAGAACGGGGCTGGCTCCCGCAGACCCTAAAGAGCCAGGAGAGTTTCACTGAGAGACTGCAAAAGTGAGGGCAGTTTGTAGGGGCAGCACTGCCATCACAGTGTCCCAGCCACCGGGTGACTCACTGCCTCTGCATAATTCAGACACGTGTACTAAAAGAATAATTAGTGTAAAACCTCAAAACAGCTTTGCAGGCTGATTAGCCTGAGTTTAGAGAGGGAGAGAGAGAGAAAAGCAGATTTTAGAAGACAGCATTTCTACTGGAGCAACAAAATCAGAAGGTCAGAGCTGCAGCTGCTAAACTCAGGCTTTTGACAAACAGCAGTTCACAGCAGCACAGGCCAAGCTCAAACCTCACTGTCACAGCTCCAGCTGTGCCCACTCTGGCAAGACCATCACTCTGCTGTGCCTGAGTGTTTGTGCTGGGATGTACAAACTGTAACAGCTCCTTGATCTGAGTATATGAACAAGCAGAAGAGCAATAGCAATGCAGCACTAACTCTGAGAGCATGTGTGTGCTGTCACCATTTTTGAGCCATAGAAGTGAGAGACTGATCTTGATCTGTGTCAAAATAACTCCAACTGCTGCAAGAAAACCCCTCCAACCTGCTAGCTTGACAATAGCAGTACATTTAATCAACAGCTGAAGTGCAGCCATCATTTCTGGTCTGTTCTGAATGGAAATGAAACATTTGCCCTTCCCATTACAAAACAAAGAGCTGAATTTCCTTCTAGCTGGAAGGTGTAGGACTGCAATGGACATCTTGTTCCCAAGTCAGAACACTAGGAAACAAGCTTGCAAATCATTACAATAATACCTTCAAGCTGAAAGGGCTAATCTGCAGTTTCCTCTCTGGCTTCCTGTCCCACTGCAGAATGCTGGCAGCATCCAGCACCACTGTAACCAGAAAAACCACTGCTACTCTGGCCAGTGTCAATCCTTATCAGAGTGCTTATAGTGAAGTGCACAGGAAAACAACCACTGACCACAACAGTCAAACAAGCTGCTCCTGCTGAACATCTCCTTTAAGTTACCAAGGGCTCCATATTTCACACAGCACCTCCTCTACCAGGATCCTTACTGTCAGATAATGCCTGCAGGTCTCTCCTCTCATCACTGCCAGTAAGTCTAGGACTGCCCTATAAAACTAGATTCTTGGCAGTTTAGTTGAAGTTAGGAATAGAAGCACAAAAAGCCCTATTAAAATTACCTGAGGAACACAGAGACATGTCCTCAAAAGGTCCTGCCAGAACCTTGCCCTTCCCCTGCAGGGCCACTGAGGGTCAAAACTCAACCTGATGTGCACAATACAACAGGCTTATGTGTCAGCAGGTTTGTTACCACCATCTGCTGCTGAGCCCTGCTGCTTCAGGGGAACATTCTGCCAACAGCTGCTTAGCTGGGAGTGGAAAAGGCTTCAAGGTAATCTCACAGTTAGGCAACACTATTACTCTTGCTATAATAAATAAAACTTTTGCAAAAAGAAGAAAAAAAAATCTTTCACCAGGAGAACTGTATTTGCCCTGTGGCTAAAAACAGGCAGGAAGCTTAGAAAGTGGCTGGATATTACTTGTCTTGTGCTGTTTGCCAATGCTTTATTTCTAACAGAGGACAGATAGCAACTTGAAGAGCAAGTGACTCCCACACAATAATAAATAACCTGCACACTTCTCTTTCCTTACTGAAATACATGAGATCTTTAAGAGGGACAGGGTGGGTTTTGGCAACAGTGAAGGACATAGATGATCTGTGGGATAAGTCACACAACAGCTCAAGCCTCCATTCCTAATGCCTGCCCCCCAAGTTCTCACTGCTGGTGCTGCTCTTACTTCACCACCACTGTCAATGCCCTGTGACAGGGCTGAAGCCCTCCTGAAGAGCAAAATGTTGTCATCGAGGAGGAAGATTGCAACACATCACCACATTCTGCCAAGGACCATGACCCTGGTATGACGTGGCAGGGATGGTAGCTGGCTTTTGACAGAGATAAGAAAAGAACAACTAGAGCACACGTGATGCACAGGACAGCTCCAGGAAGAGGGCAGAGAAGAACTATAAAAAGCCAATCGTCGCAATCTTGTGGCAAGGGCAAGTTAAAGACAGCCCTTGTCAGTAGCATTAACTGGATCATACCCCCTTCAGAAAAGATCCCACTGGCTTTAGCTAGTTAAAGCCATCCCAAGGTTGACCTAGAAAAGAAATCCTTTTGGTTGTTTGTTGTGTTTTTTGGTTTTTTTTCTGGGGACTCCCAAAGTACAAGCTAACAGAAATGTGGTCCCTCTCCAGATCAAGAAAATCAAATGAACAGTGATCTTCCCTGTGTGTCAGACCATGGATTCAACAGATCACTTCTGCAGGTGCTCACAGGCTTCAGACCCTCCTGCAGCTGTCATGTGCTTCTCCTGAGTATTTCTCCCTCCCAGTGGGTCACTTCAAACCCACCTGTGAGAAATGCCTGCTTCTCTGTGGCTATCTAAATGCATGCCTCTTTGGCTCAGCTTAAGCGACAAGCTGGACACACCACAAAAGCAGCTTAGCAATGCTTGCCTCAGACCTAATTTAAGCCCACGTTGTAAGTATGTTATTAGTATGAACAAAGGAAGATTCCAAACTGGATTTGCAAGAAGGAGAGCTACTATCATTTGCTTCTTATCCCCTGCCCCCTGCCTTGTTTTCTCTGTCCACAGATAAACCACCATCTGTATTTTCCTGCTGTTACAGCTCAGTGTCCTCATCTCACAGGCTCCCAAAATTCTTATCTCTGCTTACTTACGAGTGAGCGTCGGGACATTTTTGGAGGGATTCCATCCAGCTCTGTTGCCCCATTAGGGCCTGATCCATCTTTTCTTCTCTTTCGGGAATTCAGTCTGGACGAGGTTGGCGGCTCCATCTTGTCAAGCACGTCCAGAAAGAACTGGAACAAAATGAAGGAGAGGGAAAAAAGGAAAAAAAAGAGAAAAGAGATATTTCTCAGTTCTTCCAAAACAGAATCAGTCAACAGCAGGCACAGTGCACAGAAGGTCAGTGCAAAGACACAGCCACCTCACAAGGGGCTTAGCCAGTTGTATTTGGCATCAGCTGCCAAGGCTTGACAAACAGTGCCTGGTGGGAATACTGAATCATTTAATGCAACTCAGAGCTGTTCTGCAGAGAGAAGCGTGCAGCAGTCAGCTGGCTGGAGAGACACTGAAACAAGAGTTGCAATGCAAATTATAAATCATTACTACGAGGTTAATAATGCTATTTTCGCATCTTAAAGGCAAGCTAAGGATATGGCATGCCCACATCACATTCAGCCCTCGTCCAGCTCTCATTTGGATTCTTTACCCTTTACACCCCCAAGGGCAGCTGATGGATGTGCAGTGTACAGTCCTTCTTCCTTCTCTTCCCAGTACAGTCCTGAAGAGAGGAAGGAGGGTCTCCGCAGAAGGATAAAGGCAAGTGAAGGGCTCGTAACTTAAATGACTTTAAACAGGCTTGCTGTTTGCTTTGCTGTTTGTGTAAGACAAAGCTGCAGCTCCCCAGCGGGCACAGCCCACCTTGGGACAGCTGCCACCGTGTTCCCCTCTTGTCCCTTGTCCCCACCGCAGTGGTGACTCAGCAGATGGTGAAGAGCTGCTGACACCACATTAGGCCACACTTCTGGCACTTTATGTACTAGCTTGCAATTAGTGGTGGCTCAGCTGAACTGCTTCTCTGATGAACAGACAGACACATCACCAATTTGGGACAGAAATGGTGACAGTTATAAAGAGGGAAGTTATCTGTGCTTTGGGCTGGAGTCACTGTACCTTTGCAGAGGGGCCTGGAGTATTAGTAACTCCTGCTTCACACAGCTGAAGCAAAAATAGAGATTTATAGGAAGGCATGGCAGTGAATATTTCCTTTCCAGCTGCCGCAGGAGCTAGAAATGGGTGCTAGATTTGCAAAAACTAGCAAACAGCATTATGTCTCTTGTTGACTTGAAGTGTGCACCTCTCCAGGGCAGCACGTGGCACTTGTGGCCTGGAGAGCAGCACGGCCCCTCCACCCAGCAACGATCCTTAGGTGCTGCTTCAACTCCCTAATAACAAGAGTGGTGTGGAATTTAAAACGCCTCCCCACCCACATGCAGTGGGTGTGCTGGAATGTTAGGTGGGGCAAGTGCAAGGTGTGACAAAGAGCAGATGCCCCTCTGAATCCCATCCTTTTCAGCAGTAGAGGGGCTCTGCTGAATGTTCTGCTTGGGATGAGCTACGTGAGGAGCTGTGACTGCCCTCAAATGGCCACTGGCAAAGCTCTGCTGTTTGGCAGCCAAGAAGGGTGTGCTTTGTGAAAGAGCTGCTAAATAGCAGATTTAGTGATCGGACTTACTCAAGCACACATGACTCAAAGTTAAGGAATGCTCCAAAGTAACAAGTCAAATGCAGTTTAACGAGATGCAAATATCTCTCCCACCCCACTGAGCATCAGCATGATGATACCTTATGGGCAGTTTTAGGGTCAGCACAGCTGAACTGGCTTGGGGCTACATACATGTAAGTATCCCTGGCTGCTCTGCTAGACCTACCACAATGTACTAAGAACAAGGAAAGAGAATCTTAGGTCAGTAGGGAGCCAAAAAAATATTGTGGAGAAAATAAAAGTGACAGTGAAGAGCAGCCACAAGGACATTCCAGAACTGTGTGAGCCATCCAGTACTCACTGTGAGTCAAGCTTGCCGTTTCCCCCATTCCTGTAATTAAATTACTATTTCCTGAGAACAAACATATGGGAGAGTGCAAACATAACCTCAGGCAAAAAAGTTTGGAACCCTCAGGTCCAAGTCTTTAAACATTTAAGCAAGCATTTGACTTTCAGGTGAAATCCGTGCTATAAATGCAGCAGCTTCCAGAGTGCCTCTAAAAACACAGGGTATGACACGAGTCATTCTTACATTTTGCAAGGTATCATCTTGCAAGCACACTCTGCGTCAGTCATTCACCACCCTGGTCCCAGCAGAAACCATGAAGTTCAAAAAAAGCAGCAAATGTCTGCCTCTGGTTCAAGTAACCCCAGAATTCATGGAAACACTAGGGGGAAACAGCAGCCGATTTTTTTGTTATTTGGTTAAAATAATTTCACTGTGCTTCAAGTCACCTGTCAGTCTCTGGCCACTTTCTTTCCTTCCCTTGGGAGAGAATTAAAAGGTCTGTTAAAGTGTGCTGAATGCAGACATTCTGAACCACTGCCCAGCAAAACATCAAAAGCAGAGGCTTTGGTGCTGAAGCACAGACACAGCAGCCCCACACACAACCAGGTGAAGCTCTTCTCCCATCAGAGCAACCAGATTTCACAGCACACAAGTACAGTCTCTGCTGAATTATCAGCAGTCCCTTGCTGCTGGGTGCAGATCTCATGGCCAGGCAAAGAACTGCAGGTTACAGTACAGGGCAGCACTGTCCCAGCTCAGGAGAAAACTCTCAACAGCTTCTTCCAGCTCCTCCCACACCCAACCATCCACCCTAACTTTTCCATTTCTCAGGGTATACACAGTCAGTTAAACGATGGCAAAAAACAACTTAAGTGAATGGATTCCAACTTCAGAGATTCTATTATTCGCTGTGCATTAAATCAGCAGCAGTGGTGAGACAGCATCAGCCACACAGCAGCAGCTCTACCCAATGCACCAAGTGAGAAGCCAGCTTCAAGGGTGGGATAAATATGCTCTGTCTGCTCTGGCCTGACAGGTGAGATGTTGCTGAAGTGGCCTCTGCAGTGTCCGGACATCTCATGAGTGACACAGCTCTGTTAATTACTCAAATTAACTCAGAAATGAAACAATAATTTTACCACTATTCAGAACTTTAAAACCTATGTCATGTGGATGGTGCATTTCTGGGAAGTCCTCCCATCACCAGGCTTGGCTTCACAAAAAACAGGGAATACACCACACCTTACTGCAATAAGCCTACTCATCTTAGAATGCTTCAATTTGACCCAAGTGACTAAAATAGCATCTCAAGCAATTATTTACCAACAGTGGGATCCAGCACCTGAAGCTGAGTTTAACACAAGAGGACACGGCTTTGCTTCTCCAAATGCATAAAACACTGCCTGCTCTAAAATTAATTACATTTGCAGCAGATGGGGAAGAGGAAAGAGAAGATAACTCTCAAAGCTCATTCTGAACACGCCAAGATAGAAACCAAGCATAACCAGAAGAAAGAGCCTTGCTGTAAAATATTAATATTGTTCTATTTTAAGGTGTCACCCTCCTGCATTATTGAGCTCATGGCTGAATACGAGATACTGCTCCAAAGGAGCAAAGCTGGAAGTGCCCCGTTTGGAAAAGCCATGGGCACATCACAATCCCTGCACCACTGTATGAAACACTAAGGGCTTTTCTTCTTAAATATTTCTTTGGTGTATCCTGTATCAAAGAAGGGCCTTGCATCACCTGCCAGCTAACTCATCGAGAGAGAGACCCCTGCACAGGCTCTGCAAGGAGCAGCTGACTGCCAGATGGGAAGAGTTGCTTTTCCTGTCAGGGAATCATTGAATCCCACTGAAACACAGCCACTTCTGGGAGGGGAAAGAGGACAAGCATTGATAACTAGAAAGGAAAGCAAAATATAGGCAGGGAAGGAATTTAAAACTTCTCCCTTGGTGTCAGTTAACTACACCATCATCAGAGCTGGAATTTACCCACAACACCAAAGCTGACACCTCTGGCACGTGGAAGCGGTCAGAATAGGCCCAGCAAATCTTCCTGCTTAGCCAAAGCTTTACCTCACTGTCTGCATCTTTATGGACAGTGCTGCCATTTTTCAGTCTTGGTGGTGTCAGAGAACTCCAGCATCACACTACACTGGAGAAGCAGGTCAGATCTTTCTACACCCTAAGCACACTGATGGCATGAGGACCTGGCCCATCTGCTTTTTTTTTTAATGTCCTGAAAAACTTTTTGGAGAATATTAACTGCAAACCTACATCAGCAGCAGGATTTCTTCTGCCACCTCTGCTGCTTTTCACGTGCAGATTTACCTGTGAAGCAAAATAAATGCCGCTACTTAAACTGAAAACGAGCTTGCTGCACCAACTCAGTAAATGCTCCAGCCCAAAGCTGCTGTAATTCCCACCAGGGACCCAAAGCACATGACTGGCAGCTGGACCAGGGAGGCCCTGGGACACCTGCAGCTCCCTGGGTGGCACCGCCTGCTCCAAGGCTGTCCTATCGTCCCTCTGAACCTGGGAGGCGTTGGCACAGTCAGATGTGACTGTCATGTGCTGCTTTGCCTACAAGATCATTGCACTTTACAGGAACAAGATATTTCTCTTCTGCTGACTCATCTGCAGGCAACACTACTAAACTTTGCACTCTGCCAGCTGTCTGCAGAGAATTGCCTTGACACGCGGACAGCATGTAAGCAAGAGCCTCAGGGAAAAGGCAGAAGTCCTGTCACTTCAGATAGGTCCCTTGCCAGGCTATAAAGTACCAAAGCAACTCTACATTCCTCTGCATTCCTTGACCATAGAGTGAAGAGAATTCTTTTTCCCCTGTTCTCCCTCATGTGCAACACCCAGTCTCCAATTAGCCTTACTGGTTGGTGTGTATCCCCACGGAGATCTGCGGAGACACAGAGACCTGGGAGAGGTTAATGACAGAAGACTCATCATGGATCTCTTCTATCAGCGCTTAAAAAACTTGCCCAATTTCCAAGGCAACTTCATGCCCAGCCCAGGCTTGACAGGCCCAGTTCTGTCCCAGTCTCCAGACTCTGAGCTCCTGCCTGGGAGCAGAGTGCTGCTGGCTATGACCCAGCCTGCTCGCCTCCAGACAGACGGCACCACTCCCCACAGCCAGCATCTGCTCACGGTCAAGCCCTTGAGCCCCTTAAAAAGGTTACTGCAGCATCTGGCACAGTCCTGTCCACTTGTAAAACACAGGCTGCTTCAGCTACTTTGGATCAAGATCAACAAAAGCAGCTGTCCCACAGTGTGTTAAAAGCCACAGGAACATATAAAAGGGATTTCTGTCCAGCCAGTGCCACACATCGGTCCAACAGCATCCTCACCTTTGCTATACCTGCTAAAATAACCCCCAGGCCTTGCGTCCCCTACTGCTCCAGGCAGGCTGATATTCTCTCAAGCAGAAGCTCTGGTACTCATGTCCTGCAATTGATGGAAAGATGCTGCTTCTCTCCAACAAAGTCCCAAATGGCTGAAGATAACTGTCTAACCACAACTGAAAACAGTTCAGTGCAGTCACCTAGATAGTGCTGCTAAGTAATACACATAAAAAAGAGAAACTGCTGTCAGGACCTCTGTGAATTCACAGCCCTTCTGGGTATACCATAACCTCCAGGCACTGAGTGTCTTGACATGTGACAGCCCCTGCTGGGTGAGTGAAGCAGCAGAAATAGGGTTTACTTATTACAGAATGCCAGAAAAAATACTGTCAGGGACAACAAAGTGTGAGAATAGGTGGCTATTCTGACCCGACTTCTGCACTGTTTTGTTTCTAGGGATTATCAACAGAGCTTCTTGAGACTGGAGGTGTAACCCTCCTTTAGCAGGTTTACACATCAACACCAATTCCCTACTGGAACAGTATTGTTTGTGGCTCTTGGAAAAGTGATTTAAAGAGTGTTACAACCCAGATCTCACAGGAAAAAAATTCAAAATCAGGAAATTTCATAATTGTGTATATCCGGTAAACTTCTTTGGGAAATAATGCATGGGTATTTGTCATCTGAATTTCAAAACCAAATACAGTGGCTGTCCTCAGACCCTGGGGTTCTGCAGATGGAAACCCAGCATTACCTGTTTCTGACCACCCCAACCTTTGCCAGGGTCCTGCCAGCATCATAGGGTGGGGACAGAGCGAAGGCCACCTGCAGCATCCTGCACCGCCCTCCACAGCGAGTGAGGACTCCAGAGGAGCATCTCAGCTCTGGGAATTCCTGAGGACTTTAAGTCCCATTACAAAACCATTAATCAGTGCAGCCAGGGCTCCGGTGGACACAAAAAGAGGGTTACAGAGGATGTGTGCCTACGCAGCAGCTGGGTCACACCTTGCTCCGCCGCAGCCAGGGCCACCTCGTCACTGTCCTCCCTAGGCCCTGGCTGTGTCCCCTGGCTGGGGGATGTCCCCCGGAGCCCCCGGGACATCCAGGCGCTGAGGGTGCACTACAGAAATTTCCCAATGAGCCGCCTCCACCTTCTCTCGGCGGCTAGTCCTGCCATCCCAGAGGATCACGCCCGAGCCCCGGCCTCTGCCCAAGCCCCCACAAAGGGGACGCAGCGCATCCCGACCACCCCAGCCGACACTTCCCTCTCGCCCAAAGCCACGTCCCGACCGGCCAGCACGGCCCGGAGCCCCCGGCCCGTGCCCCGGGCACCCCGCCGGGAGAGGGGCCCGGGCGGGACCCCCGAGCGGCTGCGCAGGGGGAGCGAGCGGTGCCCTCATGTGCCGCCGGTCTAACCGCACTCCGCAGCCTCCGCTCCGGTGCCAGGCTCCGCTCCGCTCCCCGTGCCCTGCACCCCCCGCCCCGTCCGGGACAGCCCCCCGCTCCCGCCGGACGCCGCCGTACCAGCCGCCGCCGCCGCTCCGCAGCCCAGCGCGGTGAGTCCGGCCCCGCCGCCGCTCCCGGCCCCGCCCCGCTCCCGCCGACGCCAGCGGGGCGCGGGCGGAGCCGCTGCGTGTCCGCCCGGAACCACGGAAGGGACCGGCCCGCCGCGGGGAAGCCGCGTCCCGGGAATCCGCGCCTGGAACCTCCGTTCCGGCTCGCGACGGTCCTGCCCCGCCGCTCTGCGCGTCACAGAATATCCCGAGATGGAGGGGACCCGCAAGGATCACCGAGTCCGGCTCCTGGCCCTGCTCAGCACCATCCCCAAGAGTCACACCAGGTGCCTGAGAGCCTTATCCGAACGCTTCTTGAGCTTGGTGCCATAACCACTTCCCTGGAGAGGCTGGTCAGTGCCCAAAGAGCCACTGTGGGCAGAACCTTTTCCTGATACCCAACCTAAACCCCAGCACACAGCTTCAGGCCATTCCCTTTGGTCGTGTCACTGGTCACCACAGAGAAAAGAGTCTGGCCCTCTGCTTCCCATCGTGAGGAGGGGAGACTGATGAAGTCTTTTCTCCGTTCATCCAGTGTATGGATGTATCTGGTGTAAATTCCGGAGGTTCTGGAAGGAGGGAGCTGCCCTGCTTGCCTACACCGATGTGCTTTCAGCAGTGGCTCAATCTCTCTCCAGGTGAAATACAGCATCCCTTACTTGTTCCACACCACAGCCAAGGGTGGTGAGGCTGAGCGATTACAGACTGAAATCTGCTCACCTGCTTTGTACAACACCTTCATGAAGAAGCCATTAAACACCTCCAAAATGGAGCAAGTGCAAGGTTAAACATTGTGATTTAACAGCCAAGGCTTTATAAAAGCTTCAAAATGAGTCTGAGGTCATATGTACCAGCTCGTGGAAAATGTTGTGTGGAGGGTTTTGCTGTTCCCTAAAAGTCACACTCCCAGGTTGTGCACAAACAGAGCATCACTGTCACATCTCTCTGCAGGTCCGTTAGTGGGTGACAGCCACAGGCAGCAACAAAGCAGTCAGTGAAGCTACCCTTCATTTCCCGCCAGAGGAAAAGGAGAGGAAGACTCATAACCAAAATATTTCAAACTAATACAATAGAGAAGCAGCAGTGTGCTGCCTCCAGCACACTGGAAGGATTCCAGAAGATGCATTGTAGTTTTTTACTTCCCCAGCTTCCAAGAGCTGCATGGGCAGGGTGTGCTCTGCTGTAACAGTTGGTGAGGGTGGGATTCAGGGCTCACCTCACCCCTCTTTGGCACTCTGAAAGCTGCTCATCCCACTGGAATGGTTCAACTGTGCTTGCCCTGTTGGCAGAGAGAGTACAGGGATCACCACAGAACATCCCATCTTCCAATGGGCATGCTAAGATGTACTTTCTTGGCACCCACAGTCTCAGCAACCCACCTGGTCCTCCACCTTTTGGGGAGATGAGAAGCTTTAGCATTCTTCTGTAGATCTACTGCAGCCTTTCTGAGGCTGGAGTCCTAGCAAAGTTGTTCTCCAAATATCCACCCTCATATTCCAAAATAATTATAGAGAGATTGGGAAATCACTGCAGTATCTGCTGAAGAGCCTGAGGAGCAGTGATCACTCACAGCATCCAGGGGTGCCAAATTGCACCAAACCAAGGAGCACTTACTGCAGGGAGGAGTTCTGGCAGTCACGGGGTGTGTGGGCTGCTGGCCTGACCTAATGTCCTAAATACCTCGACTTTCCATCAATTAATACCATCTCATGTGACACAGCTGGGATTCATAGCCCAATTGTTGTGGGAGTCATAGGAACAAATCTGGATAACCAGAATCAGAGATCAGCTTTGTGGATTAATTTACAAAGAATTGTCAAAATGCTCACCTAAGAAATGCAGACAAGCTATCCAGGATAGTGCATCTTGTAGAGTGGAAGAAAATGCCACAAGAGAAGAAATATTAAATGCATAGATTTTTTTTCTTATAAATATTTCATTAATTTCATAAAAAATAAAAGTAACAGAACCCTTTCGAGACAAAAGTTGAGTTTGCTTTAGAAGCAATGGCTATTGGCAATACACTTTTAGGACAAAACCAACACTATGTAAAAAACAAAGGGCCATTTAAATAAAGGACATCATAATAGTAATATTAATATTGTGCTTAAAGCTACATAAATATCCACAAGGAAGAGGGAATGTTGTAGTGTGTAGCACAGGTGTAGGACGTGCTTTGTAGAGCAGTTAATTGTGTTATGTACTCAAGGAAGAATATGATGCTTTTGTACACTTAAATAAAAAATACTCCAAAGCATTCTCCCCAACGTCCATCCTTCTCTGCAATGTTTGTCACCATCAGTAGTAGAAGCAGCCAAATGCAGCCACCACACAAAACAGGCTGTCCTGGGGAAAAAAGAGAAAGGCTCTGTGTTAGTCAAGGCAAGCTTTTTGCTAGTCTAGTGGAACAGGCAAACCTCAGGGAACATTTAGACCAGAACATAATTGTATAATAATATATAGCAATTTTCTGTCTTTTATTTAAGTTTCTTATTCACCTCACTTGTGGTGTAACCCAGGTGAGTCCATCTGAATGCCAGAAGCACCACAATTTCCTCCATCCACACACCCACAGGTATCTAGGTGTCAGTTTAAAATAAAATAATAATAAAGTAAAACCTTGACTTTGGCACAGTCCTGGATTTCAGCCATGCTCCACGACTGCAGTTCAGCAAAGTATGTAAGAAAATACTTAATCTCTTGTGCTTTCTCTCCCCACCACTAAATGGTGTGACTACAATGACTTTTGTACTGTACTGTGTCACCTACTCAGGGGAGAACTTTTACTATGTTGGCTGTTAAAGCTAAGTATGTTTTGTGAACAAGCACGTAAATCAGGCTGTTTCAATAATCTTGATTCCTTCCTTCTAGCAGTTGTTTCTTTTCTGCTCCATATTTAAGGTCACTCTGCCTCTCATACAAAAGCAAGTAGCCTTGCACTTGCCATGAGAATCCAGCCCATACTTACGTTCATGAACACGTCGTGAGCACAGCTGTCAGTGTCAGCGTCCCAGAAACATCGTGCAGCCATGCTAGACAAAGGAGCCAGACAGGGACATTACCCAGAGTTCATGTGTACTGACCCAAGTGATCACAGATACTTCCCTTGAAAACAAAACTGAGCTTGCTTTAAAGGTAATGGGATTGGGAAGTATGCTCCTGAATCCCAAGCCTGGTTTTCTACTGCTGAATTCTACCACATGCTGTAATCCCCTCTGTATGTGCTCCACCTTCAAACTCATCAGCTCTCAACCCTGCTACCTCCACTGTGCAGCAGGGCTTGAAATCTCATTGCTGTGGTGCTTAAGAATCTTTGACTTCTGGCCTATGCATATCAGTGGCTAATTTAGCTTATTTGTTCTTGTCCTTCACCTCCTGCACCCTCCCCATGGCACATACTCCCAATTTATTTATAGGGAGCTATCGTATTCCTTGGCAGATGCCATGCTATGAGACCACAACCACTTCAAGTCTTTTCTTATCTATACCCTCTGCTCCCTGACTATCCTGATGGACTTCTACACCCAAGCCCTATCCTGAGCACAAACAACAGACCATAACAGGATATTGCATGGGAGATCTTGCTGCTGCCTTGTCTAGAGACACTGACATTCCCTTGTCTCTGCTGCAAGGCTCCCACTCCCTGCCTGCCCCAGTGAGCCTCAGCTGACAGGATTCCTTGTGGGGCACAGTCCCATCATGTATGAGTGACTGTACTAAGGTGTATTTTGCATTAAGGATGTCAGTGATTGTGTTTCAATATTGCCTCCTGTCTGTTGCAAACTGGAAAATTTCCCCAACTGCTCTGTCAGCCTGTGTGGCTGGACTTCACATTTCTGATCAGACCACCTGAACACTGAACTGTTCACCCTGGCACAGTGCTTGTGGAGCAGCCTGCCTTCAGACAGACATTCCTGACAAAAGCCTGAGCAGCAGGTACAGGTATTCCTCTCTGACCTCCAGCTCTGCTGCACTTATCTTCTGCTGGAGTATCAGGCACAATAATAAAGATAAGCCCAGCAGATAAAGCACATAAACCTTGTGAGCTGTTCCCTTTTGTCTTCTCCCTACCCATGAGTAATGGAAAGCTACAGCCCACTATTGCAGCCAAGAGGAATTCTTTCATCTGACTGCAGGCATCTGGAGCTGACTGCAAGTGCTGAGCACCCACATGGGAATCTAGGCTTGGTTCCCATGGCAGTATTGCAGTGGGATTATAGAAACTGAAACTTCTGAAAAATGTAAATGAAGTGCTTATGGAAGCTTTCTGGCTTTAGACAGAAGTGAGTTACCATGGCTTTTGTGCTCCAGCAGGGCCTTAGGAATGGATGGGGGGTGTACCCTAATTCATCATGAATACAACACAAAATGCTTCTACCACACTCCTCAAAAATGATTTTCAGCATTTCAGCTTGCTAAGAACCACTATAGAGCCAATTATCACTGGCTAATTCAACCAGTCATAACCTAAGTACTCAAGTTGCCACTAAAAGAGAAAAAAAAGTGATTTTCACTTCATCATCTGCAGACAGATCTTTGTAGCAAGGGAAGTTGGAAGCAGCTTCCAAAGGAAAAAAACTACACCTAAACCCAGAAAACATGCTAGAAATACAATTAGAAGATGCAAAACTTACTTCACTCCTTCTCCTCTCTGCTCTCCAATGACAACCTGCACCACCATCTTGTACCTGTCAAATCCCTCCTCTGGAGAGAGAGAAAAATAATAGTGAGAGCAATAACTTTTTAAAAATATGAGCCCAAGACACGACCCTGACAGCTAAAGATTTCTGGCTACAAAGCAAGTGGCTGTACAAGCCTATGCAAGTAGCCAAGTGGACAGACTGCCTAGCAAAGCTTCATTTTCCCAGCATGGAGTACCATGGTTTTGCTGGAGTTGAAGGGTGAACAGAGTAGTTGGCATCCATCAGAAGATGCATCTTAAGGCACTGGACACCCCTGAGCAGCCACACTGTATGTCAGC